GGCTGCGCTTCCTGTGAGCGCCGGTGCTGCTTTGGCCGCGTCCCGGGGGTCCGGAGGGGACAGGGAGCGGGTCCGGAGGGCACAGGGAGCGGCTGCGCCAGGTGAGTCCCGCGGGGGCCGTTGAGGTGCCAGCGGCTGTTGGCTCAGGCTGTTTCCCAGCGGGATCCCGAGCTGGGGAACGGGCGGGGGTGTCCAATCCCGGGTTGGACGGGGCTTGGAGCAACCAGGGAAGGTGTCTCTGCCCTTGGCAGGGGTGGGACCGGGTGCTGTTTAAGACCATTCCATGATTCCATGACTCTTCTGTGATCCTCAGCAATGACAGCACAGCCGTGTTGTGCTTGAGGAGCAGCAGCAGCTTTAAGTCCCCTCTTTATGTCCCTCCTCCTGTTTGGCAGGTGACACTCTGATAGTGGAAGAGGACACATCCAAACCCGAGCCCGACTCTCCCGTGGTCGCCAAGAAAGCGATGTCCCACCCTGTCAGGGAAGCCGTGCCTGTTCTGGCCAGGAGGGTGGTGCCAGCAGACAATTCCTGCCTGTTCACCAGCGTGTCCTACGTGGTGGAGGGCGGCGTGTACGACCCCGGCTGCGCCCCCGAGATGCGCAACCTCATCGCCCAGATCGTGGCCAGCGACCCCGAGTCCTACTGCGAGGCCGTGCTGGGCAAAACCAACAGGGAATACTGTGACTGGATCCGCAGGGAGGAGACCTGGGGAGGAGCCATCGAGGTGTCCATCCTGTCCAAGTTCTACCAATGCGAGATCTGCGTGGTGGACACGCAGACCGTGCGCATCGACCGCTTCGGGGAGGACGCGGGCTACAGCAAGCGCGTGCTGCTGATCTACGACGGGATCCACTACGACCCTCTGGAGCGCCGCGTGCCCGGCTCGGACATTCCCCCCCAGACCATTTTCCCCAGCAGCGATGACGTGGTGCTGGCGCAGGCGCTGGAGCTGGCGGACGAGGCTCGGAGGAAGAGGCAGTTCACGGATGTGAATCGCTTTGCCCTGCGCTGCATGGTGTGCCAGAAGGGACTGACGGGGCAGCTGGAGGCCAGGGAGCACGCCAAGGAGACTGGACACACCAACTTCGGGGAGGTGTGAGCTCAGCTTGAGGAGGGTGCCATCGACTACCTCACCGCTCCGGAATCAAATTCTGGAGTCCCCAGATAAGCTGTTTGTAATCATAAAATTCCGTTCACAGAGCTTGAAAAGCGAATTAACTTAATGGTGGCCAACGCACAGGTTTGGGAATAGGGGATTGGGAATAGGGATGCTGAGGGATGGCACTTGGGCAGGCACTGGACAGTGGCAGCCACGCTTTGATTTCATCACTTTCCGTGTGTGTGTGTGTGATGTGAGCAGCCAGGCTTGTCCAACACCGGTGTAAAATCCACCTCTGAGGTGCTGAATGTACATTCTCAGGGTAATTCAGGTAATCCAAGGCTTTGGGAAACACACATATCAGCATTGCTTACACTGAGAATTAGGCTCTGCGCATAGGAGCGGCTCTCAGAGGGGAAACTGCTCGTGTGGTGCGTGATTTGTAATGGAAATAGCAAGTACAATATCAAAATAGAGTTTGTGGTGGAAAGAGGATCTCTGAGCTGCCCTATACCTTCAGGAATAGACTGTGTAGTTTGTGTGCAGAAAACTTTAGGGAAGGCAATGGCCTCTAAGCTTTAAGGTAGCCTTTAAATTAATGAGTAGATGGCTAAGTGTTGAATAAAACTTACTAATCCTCCGTAGGTAGTTTTTAGTTGCTTGAAAAATAACTCTCAACCCCTGGTGTTTACACTGCATCAGAGCATAAGCATGTTTCCTGGAATACTTGGGATTCTTCTTTATAATAGCATTGGAAATTCCTGCAAGAGGGAAGTGAGTAGTTAGGGAAGTGACTTAATTTGCATCTGTTAAATACATTGAATATTTTACTTGAGCAGAGCCACTCATGGCCATGGTGTTACTAAGCTGTTCCAGTTTCCAAATACTGTAAATGAGCACTTTAAGGTTGAGTTCTCACTCTTCTCTGGTAAAAAGTTTTGCCCTCTGAAGGCCAGAGCCAGAAGGGAGGCTTGAAATTCCATCTGCTTTCTGCCTTAATGTGTTTGTTTTGTCACCACTGACTGTGGAGTAGCGAGACTTTCATTGTGATAATGAAGGGTGCAGCTGAGTATTCAGGACAAAATAAGCTGGGAAAAGTACCCCACTCCTTGGACTGTTGAGAATCAGGGAAGGTGAAATTGGTTTAATTGGAATATCTTACCTCACAGTGGGGTTGTGAAGCTTAACAGCAAATGCTTTTGAGGGTTTTTAAAAGGTGCTGTAAAGGTGCATATTACTGAAGGGGATTTATGTTTAGTTGTTTTTTTTTAAAAAGATGCCTGCAACACATCCTTGTTTTTTGAATATTTAAATATTCTTTGCCTGCCATTCTTGTTACTGTTTTGAGTGGCCTTCCTTGCACTTTTAGACTGGGGAACAAGAACGTGCATCCTCAGACTGAGGCAGAAATAAACCCACTTTCCACGTGGAACCTGAAACCCAGTTTGAAAGGCCTCTGTTCCCTCAAGCACCTGACCAAACTGGTGCAGCAACATCACCTTTCCTGCAAAAATCATATTTCAAGTTCTCAGCAGAGGCTCCCAGCTGGATCTTGAAATACAGGAGGGTTTTACTGAAGAAAGAACATAATGACATAAGTGCTTTGCTGAATCAAGGCATGAATAATTAAACAGCCCAGAATCACCCAGAGCACTATGGACCAGGTTTGTTTTTAATTCAGTATTAAAACACACATTAGCACTGTTGGGAGTTCCCTACAGAAAGCCACTTAGCTTCCAGTGTTAAACCCCACTCTGCTTTTAGCCTGTCATTAGGAAATGAAGATAAAAACCCCCCAAAACCCAACATTAAACCCAGTCCTGTAGAAGCTGATGCTTAAAAAAACCTCCAGAAGTAGCTGACAGTTCAAAGGAACTTGAAGATGACACTGTGTTATAACTACTTGAGCTGAAATACTGGCTAGGAAGGAGACCAAGAGACTGGCAAGCCCCAGGTGTGCTCTCAGCTTTCCCAGGGAAGCAGGGATGTGCCTGGGACACTGATCCTCCCCCTTTGCCATCTGTCACATGGACACAATACCTACCTCAGAGAGGTGCACGAGCTGTCTTTGAAACACAAGTGGAAGATCCATATTTATTGTCTGCCTTGACTTTGGGGAGCAACCCTTAGATTTTAGCTTTGTGTCCTGGATGGATTTCTCAAAGTGTGTAAAACATTTTTTTTTTTTCCTTTTTTCTTTTTTCTGGTATTTCTCAGTTGCAGTATTTGAAAAATGAGCTTTATTTAATCCAGAGTGTTGAGCTTTGCTAGATCATGTTTGCATTGGGAATCTGCTGAGAGAGAATCAGTTCTGTTGGAGGGAGATGTGTCACTATCACTGCTTGGATGTTTTCTTTTGTTGCCTAGAAAATAAAATCTCTTTGGTTAAAAAAAAATAAATAAATACCTGTAATTCATGGTTGTAAAAGTTGATATTGTTACAGGCTGGCAAAGAACAAGTTTTTGGTACTGACTGCAATGAAAATTTCTCCTTACTCTCCTAAACTTTCCCAAACAAAAAAAAAATCTCCATTATTTAAAATGTAAAGTCTGGATAGATTTAAAACACAGCTCTTTTTCTTTTTGAAAAGTATTATTAGGATGTTTTTTAGTACTTTTAAACTAGGATTTTCCTGCCCTTAATGACACAGTCAGGGAATTATCCCAGAAATGGCATCCTTGTGGTGGTGGGATGAACTCTGAATATCAGAATGGGATGAGATGAGCTTCAAGGTCCTTTCCAAGCCAAACCACTCTGGGATTCTGTGAAATAATGATACCTGAGATATCAGGACTCAGCTGTAAAGAGAGTTTTGCATCCCTCCAGAATCTCTTATGCATTGAAATATATAAATTATTAAGTAGACTTCACAAATGTTTGTGTCCAGTATTACACAGATCTACTCGGTGGATGAGATAGACTGAAAGAGCAGTCTGGGGAGAAAATCAGGAATAACTGGAATTTCTGAAGGACAAACCTAGTTCTGAAGTTCTGAATAAACTCCTGTCAAAAGAGCAGTTTCTGGGGAGAGCACTGAGCAAAGGAACATCTTGTTCCATGGCACATCTCAGATCAGCACCTTTCCCTGAGCACAGGCACAGCGGGGGCTGTTGTGACACTTTGGGGACATCCTCATGTAGGCATCCTGTTCTGGAGACCTGGAGAATGTCCCAGCTCTGTGGACAGCCCCCTGTACCCATCCTGCTCTCCTGGAGAATGTCCCAGCTCTGGGGACATCCCCTTGTACCCATCCTGCTCTCCTGGAGAATGTCCCAGCTCTGGGGACATCCTCCTGTACCCATCCTGCTCTCCTGGAGAATGTCCCAGCTCTGGGGACAGCCCCCTGTACCCATCCTGCTCTCCTGGAGAATGTCCCAGCTCTGGGGACATCCTCCTGTACCCATCCTGCTCTCCTGGAGAATGTCCCAGCCCTGGGACCAGGCTCTCTGGGGGAGCTGACCCCCAGTGAGACTGAAGCCTCTGTGCCCCCGCAGGGCTGTGTTTGCCCTTTGGGGCTGAACGAGGAGAGAGCAGCAGCTCTCTGCTGCCTGCCTGGAGCTGGGGGAGTTTCTGAGAAATCAGACTGACACACGAGTGCTGAATCATCTGTGTTTGGCTGATTTCACTGCAGAACCCACCCATGGGCCAGCCCTGGGAGCCCCTCCCTGCCAAGGAAACTCTAGAAGAGGAACTAAAAGTTGTCAGCTTGCTGTTTGGAAAATTGCAGCTGCTGTGCAATTAAATGTCTGGCTGCATTTTAAATCAAACTTTGCATCCAGCTCTAAAACTGCTGTCAGGTTTGCTCCAAATAAAATTCCTTCAGATTGGGTGGAATCACTTTTCAGCTGCCTGAGCACCAAAAGCTCCCTGAAACAGGAACACAACAGAGGAGTTAACAAGATCAGCTTGTCCAAGATCGCAGTGCCCTTGTCTATTATTTTTAATTAAAGTCTTGAGGAAGACGTTGGGGAACAATTAAAGCTTGAGAGCTGCCTTCTCACCTGTGGTGTTGAGAACAGCTCACCTCCCTTCTCTATCTCTGTAAACCAGAGATGATAAACGGAGCTCCTTGGCCATGGGGAGGTTTAATGAGTGCTGTGCAACAGGAGCCATTAACTGTGTGCTATTTTCCAGAACTGATTTAGGCTGTGCCTGCAATTTGGGTGAAGGAAAGTGCCCAAGTGTCTCAGAGAGTCAAATAAACGTCCTTACCTTGACAGGAATCTTATCAGTGACGCTGTGTGGATGCTTTTCCTTCAGGGCCGGGCCTGAGTCACTCGTGCCCTCGTGTTTAGGAACAGGGTGAGGCTCAGCAGGGCTGTGAAGCTGCCAAAGTCCTTCCAGGGCACTGGGGAGTTTTCTCTGCATCGTTTGACTCCTCGCATATCCTTCATGCCATCCATGTGAAATCACACCTTATTTTGGGTCGGAGCTATTTATATTTGTTGGAGGGAGAGGAATGTGGAAAAAGAACAGGTTCTTTCTGGGCTCCTGATTCAGAGGAGCTGGAGGTTTCTCCTCATGGCTGTGACACTTTCCTGACCCACATGGGGCTGCAGGCAGCCAGCTCTGCCTGTTTGGCTGCCCAGGGTGGATCCTGCTGGTGTCAGGACACCCCTGCCCGCTGCTGGGGCTCACTCACACCCTGCTGGCACCGCAATAACAAAATAACCCCAGCTTTGGTTCCCTCCCTCTCTCAGAGCATCCTCAGCACCAGGCACAGCTTGACAAACCCCACAGCTCTAAAGCTTCCACTTAAAATGAAACTTCATTCATTCATTTCAAACCAAACCCACTTCATGAGTTAACATCACCTGGAAACTCTGTCCATGCTGTGGCAGCCAGCACAACTCCTGCCCTCAACCCCTGGCTGTCACAAGCAGCTCTGAGCAGGGATAACGTGCTGCATCCCCATCCCTCACCTGCTGCAGGCCAGCCTGGGAGGGCAGGAAGGGCTGGGGCTGCCTGGGGTTTGCAGATTTGCTCTCCAGCACACCTTCCCTTCTGGAACAGCACTTGCCTGGGCTCAGCATTGCTGGTGGGAGCCTCTGGCTCATCTGCTCTCCTTCCATCTTCCCTTGGCTTTAATTAGCTGATGTTTCCACTTCCCTGTTCTGTGGAGCAAGGAACCTGTGTGGCTGCACAGCCTTTTGCTAAAAATACAAATTAAAGAAAAAAAAAAAATAACCATTGGAGCGTGGAAACGTGAATGAATCCGGCAGCTGTGTCAGCCCTGGAAATTTCCTGCAGGGTGTTTGTAGATCTGCAGTGAGCAGCACCTTGTCAAGCAGGTACAAGTCCGTGCTGTGTGTGGGGAATGGCCAAAGCATTGTTTATCAGCAGGAAAAACTCCAATTTTAATAACACAGCCCAAAAGTCAGAGGGAGAAGGAGGCTCTGCCGGTCTCTGCCTGCCCCTGCAGCACCACCCGGGCTGGGGGTCGGTGTCACCTGCACAGGGTGGGGACATCTGGGCCCCCGTGGGGAGGAGGCAGCAGAGGTGGCACCCGGGGGCTCCGAGCAGGAGATGCTGCTGGGGAAATGCCCCAGCAGAGTTTCTGAGAAGGTGGCAGTGTGAAGATGAGTCTGGTGGGCATCTCGGGGGTTTCAGCTTCCACCAGAGCTCCAGGAACAGACCTCAGGCTGCCTGGGGAAGGAGTCCCCACATGGGAAGGAGCCTGCAGAGGGTTTTGGTGCCAGGGATCGGTGCCAACTGGGACAAAAGCAGCTGCAGGTCGGGACAGGCAGAAGGAACCTCGGAGCTGTGCAGACCCGGGCACCCCATGCTGTAAATCCGCGCTGAAACTTCCCTTCCAAAACACTTTCTGCCTGTCTTCACAACCTCCTTCCTTTGCAGGCAGCAAACTTCTGGCCTCTGGGAAGCTGTGGTGAAACGCAAGCAGCGACCTGTCCCAGGCCAGGCTGTTCTGAGAGCCAAACAGGAGCCAGCTCCTACCCCAAGAGAAGAAATCTGCTGTGGGTGACGCGTTCCTGGGAGCGAACACCCAGAGCAGGGCCAGGTTTTTAATTATTGTGTGCAAGGCTGGGGTCAGGGCTGAGCTCAGTGCTCTGCTGTCAGCTATGCTGCAGAACAGGATGTCGGATTAAGGAGTCTCCAGCCAAAGCCGTGCCCAGGACAGCAGGGGACAGCAGGGAAGTGAAGGAGCTGGGTGGTACCGAGCACTCCCGGGCACTGCCAGCTCACACCCAGCGCTCTGGGGCACAGCACCGACGGGTTTTGGGGGCTGGAGCAGCAGGAAAGGAACCTCACAGGGCTGCGGGATGAATTCCACTCGCCCTGGCTGCAGGTGAGGGGCTGGGGATCACCTGTCAGGACGTACCTGCTGAGCCTGGCCAGCACAGCCTTATCTGCAGCAGGGTTAATGTGTAACCTGGCTGTGTTTGGTTAGCCCAGAAAAGCAAAGAGGTCCTGGGATAGGCACGGTCGGGACAAGGAATTGTGCAGCACGGAACGACGGACGGCCCGGTAAAACAACAAAGCAGATTAATAAGAATTTCTGGTCCTGTTTTTCTTTGCTCTCTGTGCTTTTCCTGCTGGATGGGCTGCGGGTGAGGGGCTGGGGGGGCTCTGGGTACTCTGCTTTGGAAGGCTGAAATGTGGTGGGGGGTTCACCAGCAAAGGATGAGGTGGTTTGAAGGTGCTGGTGGTGGGAGGAAAGCAGGGAAAACCTGTGCAAACAGCTCAAGGAGCTGCTGGGGTGCTTCATTTACCTGCTGAGATAGGAGGAAATTCAGATTTCCCCCTGACCCCTTTCCCCCTGAGCTGGGATCCTTCCCCCTGGGCTGCTCAGAGCCTGCGAAGGGGAATTTGCTTTGGCTTGTGCTTGGTGCCCTTTCCCAGGCAGGAGGGGTCTGGTTGCTCTGCCCCAGACAGCAAAACCGAGCTCTTCTAAGCTGGGATGAAGAGCTTGGAGTGGTGCTGGCTGGAAGAAAGTAGCCTCTTCTCTAAAGCAATTAGCATTAATTGCTACCCAGCACCTCTTTGATGGCCCCGTGGGCTTTTAAAGGACAGTTATGGCAACGGCCACAGCAGCTGAGGGACCTGGCCTTTGGATTTCGATAAAAAATAGCTGCTTCCAAATATGTTTTTAGCTGGGGAAGAGAGCTACCTCACTGAAACCCAACTATAAAACAGCTTTTTGAGTACTGTGTCGTGTAAATCAAATGCTCGGTCGCGTTTTTAGCTTGTGGCTGTTACTCACCGCAAAGAAGGAACTAAAATCCTTCTGAATCATTAAAACTGGGGGTTTCAACACTGATTTTTTCCTCTTTCCTGAGCTGGATGAGTGTGCTGGAGCTGTAATCACATCAGAGAATTAATGGGCAGGAAAAGGAACTTCTTGTTTTGGTGCAGATCCTCAGCAGCGCCCGGCGGGCTCGGGCTGAGCTTTGCCTCTCGTGAGCTGGGGCTCGGTGGGTGCCAAAGCCTTGGCAGCTGCTTGAGGTCTCTGCAAATGCTGTTTGAATGAGAGAGAAAATGATTTCTGTAATAGACTGATGGTTAGGGGGGATCCTCGTGGAGAAAATGCCTCCCTGCTGGCCCCAAGCAGCTGCACACTCAAGTTCCAGCAAGGCTTTCACTTCCCCAGGAGGGTTTTGCTGTCAGAAATTTGGGAGGGAGGCAGCCAGGAGCAGCAAAACAACCATGGTCAAACCTCCAGCAACTTAGGAGTCGATGTAAATCTATAAATCTATATCTCTAGTTTTGATAAAAATCTAAATTTCACGTTGTGGATGTTCCAGTGCAGAGGCCTAAAGTCCCCCAAGCTCAGCTCTGCTTCCCAACAGCTCAAATCCCTGGCTGTGAATGGATCTGAATCCAAAGAATCCAGGGAATTGCTGTTCCAAAGCCACCACTTACTGCAACGTCACTTAAGCAGTAAATAATGCAAAGCTGAGATTGGAATATTAAACTCCTCCTGCATGGAAGGATTAGATCTGTCAGGGCGTGGGTGTTGAAATCTGATTTTTGCGGCATATTCCAATTATAAAAGAATTCTTTCAGGGTCTAACGCTCTGAACAAGCAGCCAGTTCTGCTCACTTATCGCTGGATCTAATTCCCTGATCCTGCTACGAGAGAAAAAAGCAGCAGTGTGTTCCTGCTGGCAGGTTCCAGCACAAAGGGCTCCTCTGTCTCCCGAGGAGCAAATCCTCTTGCGTGGGTCCGTGTGTCTTGGAGGGGGTGTTGGTGTTTGTTTTGCTGCTCCCTCTCGCCCCCACAGCCCAGTTCCCTCCCCAAAAACGGGCTGGTGCATGTGGAGGAGACTAATTGGCGGTGCCAGGAGGTTTTGGGAGCTCGGTGTTTTGCGTTTGACACGTCCTATGAGCTCTGTGCAGGGATAACTGTGCCCTCTGCCACCCTGCCCTGCTGCTGGAAACCCAGACCCAGGGGGTTTGTCACACTGGGGTCCCTCTGGTGATGGATGCATCCAGAAGAGCATCAGGGGGATGCTGCTGTGAGCAGGGGGGACCTTGGGGTGCTGCTCCAACCCCCCTGGGCACAGCCCCAGCCTGCCCTGCTCCCCAAACACACCCAGGTGTGCCCCAAAGGCCTGGGGACACCTCCCTGGGGACACCTCCCTGGGGACACCTCCCTGGGGACACCTCCCCAGGGCCCCCAAGGAAGGGTGGCAGAGGCAGCTCCTCGCCAGGAGGAAGCCCTGACAGAGCGAGGATGTGAGTAACCAGCAGCATTTCGGGCCAGCACGTTCATAAATTGGAGCTGCAGGGCTGGCACAGGGTGTGGCAGAGGAAAGAGGTCCCATGAGCTGGGGCTGGGATTTCTGAGCCTCTCTGAGCCTGAGCTGGGCTTACAGCTTTGTCTTGTGCCTTATCCACCCCTGTGAGATGATCAGAGACCCACAACACGAGCTGGCTGTGCAGAGATGACCCCGTTTCCAATTATTTCGGGGAAAACTTCAAGGATGGTTTTTAAAAACCCAGCTGTGCCTTCTCCTGGAGCCAGCAGCCTAAGATGGGGCACAGCTCCTCCATCCAGCAGCTTCAGAGCCTGCCTGTCCTCCCTCCCAGCGTGCTTGAGTCACCCCTGGGGGAATCTCACAACTTAATCCTTCTCCTTTCTCCTGCTCCAGCCGGGATATTTCCCCCGTGCCAGCCTCCAGGGCAGCCCGTGCTATGCCTAGGAAGGAGCTGGGGATGGCTGGCTGCAACTCTGGCAGCTGTGACAGCATGGCCAGCACGGCCTCCAACCACTCGCAGCGGGTGAGTAACCCTGGGGAGCCCAGCCCAGCTCGCCCCTCTGAGCTGCAGAAGGATTTTGGGTGGATCTCAGCTCAAATCCGCTCTCCATCCGTGCTTTGGAGGCAGCTGGAGGCCCTGAGACAGCACCAGGACCAGATGAATTCCTGCCCCAGAGCACTGCCAGCCCTCGCCGCTGCAGGGGCTGCTCTGGGCCAGGATGGGAGAGGGAATCCTCTCCCTGGAATGGGGATCTTCTCCCTGGAGTGAGGATCCTCTCCCTGCAGTGGGGATCCTCTCCCTGCAGTGGGAATCCTCTCCCTGGGGTGGGGATCCTCTCCCTGGGGTGGGGATCCTCTCCCTGGGGTGGGGATCCCCTCCCTGGGGAGGCTGCTGTGCTGCCAGGGCTGCAGGGATCAGACCAGCTGGGCTGAGTGATTGCACTGGAGCGAGCTGAGCTCCTCCAGTTTCCCCAGTTGAGATGAGTTTGGACCATGGGTGTAGATGTGGAATTCTTCACTATCTGTCCATTAAAGCTTGTTTGTCTCCCTGCACCGATTCCGAGACTGATGGGCTAATTACATCCTGCCTGACTCGGAGCATAATTGATACGTGTGAGAGCAGCCCAGGCCTGGCAGCTTCTCCATTTGCTGTGTTGCAAACCAGAACCAAACCCTGCGAGTAAATGGGGATGGAAGAACTGGTTGTGATACTGCACAGGAGAAGATTTGGATAAGGTGTCTCTGCAAAACAACTCCACCTGGGATAATTCCTGCCCCGTGCTCGTTGATCTGATGTGCATTCCATCCTGCCCTGCGCTTCATTTTGTCCAGGACAGATTGCAGGAATCACTTTGATATCTGATATTGCAATAACGCATCTCCTGCTGCTCAAAACACAACAAAAATTCACCAACTCTTGCTCAGGTACGAATGGGAGAGCAAGGAGAGTTCATCACCTGCACAGAAACCTTCATTATTTACGGTGTTTTCTAAGATTCAGCATTGCTGAGCAGTACAGGAGTCTGTAGATACAGATTTGTTACCCATCTGCTCACACTTCAATTTAAATAAATAAAAGGTAGAGACCAAGCTCCCAAGTTCAGAATAATCCACCTTCTGACCCACAGAGTAGGATACTATAAAGAAGACTTTAAACATATATATGTTTCTTATTTTTAGAGGAGATTGTCTAATTTTCTGGAGCAGTAAATACTCATTATTCAACAGCCACTGGCCAAGCAGCTGTCACAGGCTCTTTAAACTACCTGGACATTAAATAGAAAAATATGAAAATAATATATAATATATTATATTAAATATAATAATTTAATTTAATATATTTTTCTATTATATAAAAATAAGATATAATATATTAAAAATATAATATTAACATAAAGTTATATATATAAAGTTATATAGTTATATATGTAGTATAAAGTAAACATCTCTTTATATATATATGGTATAAAGTAAACCTTTCTTTTATATTTATATGTTGTATAAAAAAAACCCTCTCTTTTTTTATATATATATGTATTATAAAGTAAACCTCTCTTTATATATATATGTGATATAAGGTAAACCTCCCTTTTATATATATATATATGTGTATATATATGTGGTATAAGGTATATCCTCATATATATATACATGTTTGTGTGTGTATGTATATATATATATGGCATAAAGTAAACCTCTTTTATATATATATAGTATAAAGTAAATCTCTCTTATATGTTTATGTAGTATAAAGTAAACCTCTGTTTTTATATATATATATGGTATAAAGTAAACCTCTCTCTTACATATATATACACATATGTATGTGTGTATATATATATATATTTGTGGTATAAGATAAATCTCTCTTTCTTTTACATGTATATGTGGTATAAAGTAATCCTCACCATATATATATATATATGGGGGGGTAAACCACTCACACACACACATAAAAGAAAGTAAAGACACATAAAGAAAGTAAACCTCTCTCATATACATACATATATGTGTGTGTATATATATATATTTGTGGTATAAGATAAATCTCTCTTTCTCTTACATGTATATGTGGTATAAAGTAAACCTCTCTCATATATATATATATAAAGTATGAAGTAAACCTCTCTTATATGTATATATATATGTGTGTGTGCATATATATTTGTGGTATAAAATAAACCTCTCTTTCTCTTACATGTATATGTGGTATAAAGTAAACCTCTCATACCTATACATATATGTTGTGTATATATGTATATATTTGTAGTAAAAGATAAATCTCTCTTTCCTTTACATGTGTATGTGGTATAAAGTAAACCTCTCTCATATATATATATATATATGGTATAAAGTAAATTTCTCTCTTACATATATATACATATATGTGCATGTGTATATATATATATATTTGTGGTATGAAATAAACCTCTCTTTCTTTTACATGTATATGTGGTATAAAGTAAACCTCTCTTTTTTTATATATATATATATATATATATATAGTATAAAGTAATCTTCTGTCATATATGTATATATATATGTGTATGCATATATATTTGTGGTATAAAGTAAACCTCTCTTTCTTTTACATGTATATGTGGTATAAAGTAAACCTCCCTCATATATATACATATATGTGTGTGTATATATACTTGTGGTATAAAGTAAACCTCTCTCTCATATATACATATATGTGTATGTGTATATATATTTGTGGTATAAGATAAACCTTTCTGTTTCTCGCAGAGTGCCAGCAGCTATGATTATTTATCCGTGGAGGAGAAGGAGTGTTTGCTGTTCCTGGAGGAAACCATTGGCTCCCTGGATGCAGAAGGAGACAGCGGCGTGTCCACGGATGACACGGACTGCGGGGGTGAGCTGGAACCCCTCGGCACCCAGGGCAGGGAGCAGGATTTGGGGGGCTCAGGGGGTCCCATCCCTGCAGAGCATCCCTGTGCTCCGGGCAGAGCAGCAGAGCCCCAGAGCCATCCCTGTGCTCTGGAGAGCAGCAGAGCCCCAGAGCCATCCCTGTGCTCCGGAGAGCAGCAGAGCTCCAGAGCATCCCTGTGCTCCGGATAGAGCAGCAGAGCCCCAGAGCATCCCTGTGCTCTGGAGAGCAGCAGAGCTCCAGAGCATCCCTGTGCTCTGGAGAGCAGCAGAGCCCCAGAGCCATCCCTGTGCTCCGGAGAGCAGCAGAGCTCCAGAGCATCCCTGTGCTCCGGATAGAGCAGCAGAGCCCCAGAGCATCCCTGTGCTCCGGATAGAGCAGCAGAGCCCCAGAGCATCCCTGTGCTCTGGAGAGCAGCAGAGCTCCAGAGCATCCCTGTGCTCTGGAGAGCAGCAGAGCCCCAGAACCATCCCTGTGCTCTGGAGAGCAGCAGAGCCCCAGAACCATCCCTGTGCTCTGGGCAGAGAGCAGCAGAGCCCCAGAGCATCCCTGTGCTCCGGATAGAGCAGCAGAGCCCCAGAGCCATCCCTGTGCTCTGGAGAGCAGCAGAGCCCCAGAGCCATCCCTGTGCTCTGGGCAGAGAGCAGCAGAGCCCCAGAGCATCCCTGTGCTCTGGGCAGAGAGCAGCAAAGCTCTCTTTATATAAATATATAATATTTAATATAAAAATAATATATAATTAATGTAATTATTATAGATAATATAACTATTATATATAATTATATATAATAAATGAATTAATAAAATATAATCAATGTATAATTTAATATTTAATATAATAATATATAGTATATAATATATCTTATATTATATGTAATATATAATATATAATATATAATATATATTATATAATTATATAATTATATAATGATATATGATATATGATATATATTATATATGATATATGATATGTGATATATGATATTATATATTATATATTATATATATATTATATATATATTTTATATATATATTTTATATATATATATGCTCGGAGCAGGGATCAGCAGCGTGGTGGGGCTGAGGAGAGTGGGAAAATCATCTCTGCCTCCTCCAGCTCCCTCTCTCTCTTCCCAGATGTTGGCAATGGGATTCCCGCTCGGAGCAGGGATCAGCAGCGTGGTGGGGCTGAGCAGAAGAGTGGGAAAATCATCTCTGCCCCCTCCAGCCCAGGCTGCCCCAGCGCTCCGAGGAACATCCCTGCAGCCAACGGAGCTTCTGGCAGCAAAGGAAGGGTCCCCACGGAGCCAGCGGGAAAAGCAGCGCAGGAGGTGCCCAAGGAGGGGCTGGACCGAGCCAGCTCTGGAAGCCACACGAAATCCGTGATTATCCGGCCTCCAGAGCCCTTCCAGGATGAGCTGGAGTGGTCACACAGCCCTCGCTCAGACACCGAAGGGGAGGCGGCCAAGGAGACCAAGATCCGGACTTTGTGGGGCCACCAGGAGAAATCCACGCTGGAAGAGGCCCCTCAGGACCCCGATGCCAAGCGTGGGCCTCCAACTGCCCCCAAACCGCGCAAGCTGCCCCCAAACATCATCCTGAAAAGCAGCAGGAACAGCTCAGTGCCGCTGCCCACGGAGCACAACCACAAGGTGAAAGCAGCACCTCCACCCTCAGCCACCCCTCAGCCCAGCCCTGCCGGCGACAGCGCTGCTGAAAAGGGGAATTCGGGCCACCTCGACGCCAAGGAGAAGGAGAAAGCCCGACGGGAAGCCCTGGAGAAGTTGGGACTGTCCCAGGCCAGGAGGGAGCCCAGCGCCCAGCTCCATCCCCACGCCAGGGAGACGCCGCTCCCCGTCCCTGGGCAGCCTGGGGAGGGCTCCGTGCCGGGGATCCGGCAGATGACCTTCAAATCCAACACCCTGGAGCGCTCTGGGGTGGGGCTGGGCAGCTCCATCAGCAGCAGCAGCAAGGAGCAGAACGCCAGGAGCAGCAGCAGCTCCCTGGGCAAGATGTCCTTCATCGAGCGCCTGGCCCCCAGCTTCCTGCGGGGCAGCCGCCCCCGGCCCACCTCCCTCGGGCCAGGGAAGGACTTTGGTGGCCTGAAGGAGAGTGAGGAGCAGGACAAGAGCAGCAAGAGGAGATCCCACCCTCTGCCCAGCTTCCCCAGGCCCTCGCGCTCTGCTGTGAGCGTGAAGATCTCCCCGAAGGCCGCGGCCGACGAGAACCGGCGCGAGGCGCTCAAGAAGCTGGGGCTGCTGAAGGAATAACTCGTGGGGCTTTTCACCCCAAATCCAGCGGCCTTGGGCTCGAGCATCTGCTGCCATCTCCTGCCCCAGCGCTGTGGGAGAGGTGTTGGGAGCTTCACGCCAAGGAACGCTGCGTGGACAGAATATTTTGTATATAGCAGATGTGTGTGAGCTTTTTGTTTATACAGAGCATCTCTCAGCGTGGACAGGGCATGTTCTCCTGCAAGGGCTTTAATGCATTTGGGGATTCATCAAAACAGGGAAGCTGTGGAATTAGGGGTTTGGTTTATTTTCAAAGGGGTCACCATCTCTGGGAAGAACTGCTGGACTTTGCTGCTCCTTTAGGACTTTTTTGGGTTTTTTTTTTAATTAATTTTATCACAGCCTCTGAGGCCTGAGCACTCACCTGCCACATGAAAGCGCCTCCTGGAAGCACCACTGCCTGCTGGGGGTCTGCACAGACATCCCACTGCCTCCCCTGCCACACTGCTCTCCCACCCAGCCTTCAGCACCTGGATCCAGCACCTGGAAGAGGCTTGGACTGCAGGAAGTGACAGCCAGAGGTTGTGCTGGTGTCAGATCCAGATGTGCTGCCCAAAACGGGGCCGATGCAAGGCTGGGACAGCTCCAGCTCGTCCCTTCCGAGCTGTCCTGGCACCTCTCAGGCCCAGCTGATGCTGCCAACGCCTTGGGGAGCAGAGGTGGTTGGTGTCCCTAATAAACCTGTGTGTGATCAGAAAGGGCCGTGTGGTGCAGATTTATATGGCAGTCAGGTAAATTTCAATAGTGGAGTTTAAAACAATTCTGAGACAAAGGATGAGCCAGGTCAGGTCTGACCCACCTATAAAATGGAATTATTCTATCAGCACAGGCAAAGTCTTCCATGGAGCAAGCTGGGACAGTGGGAGGTGGCCCTGCCTGTGACAAGGGGAGGAACAAGGGGAGCTTTAAGGTCCCTTCCAACCCAAACTGCTCCGTGATTCTGTGATTCCCTGCAAGCACAAAGAGGGACTGTGGAATTCCCGGTGCTCCTGTGCTTGCTGGCAGGCTTGAACCAGCCCCATGTGCAGCAGAGCTCCCACCCAGCCCCAGCTGCTCGGGCTGGGGACGTTCAAGTGCAAATGATTCATTTTAAAGGCAGAAGGTGGGAGATGCCAGGTTGAGAGCTGAGTAAAAGGGTCAGCCAAGCTCCTGCCTGGGTTAAAGCTGCATTTTCATCCCCGTGCTCCTCTCCTCTGACCACTCTGTCTCACCCAGGGCTGATTCCAGCTCTGCCTGACTGCTCAGCACCTGCATGATGCAAGTCCCAAGGGAAATCTCACCTTGTTTATCTAATGAGAAAGGAGGAGAGCATTAAGGACTCTCTCAAAGCATTTTTGCCCTGAAACAGAACCTAAACATTTCTAAACCGGATTGTTTTGGAAACAAAAGGTTTCTCTTCCGATCTTTGGCTTTAGCCAGAACCATTGTGTGCTGGTGTCATGAAAGCTGAGCTTTGTTCCGATTTCCAAGGGGAAATCTCACTCCCAAAGATCCCTTATCAATCTGTGACGTGGTGACGCTCACAAACAGGAGCTGGTATGACATGGAAACAAAAGAACAAATTAAAACAACAGCCCAGAGCAGCAGGGTCATTCCTCTGGGAATGAACTCCACATTTCTGTGCCTTTCCTGGAGCTGCCAATGCTCTGGGCTGAATCACCACGGGCAGGCCCCGTTCCACGAGCAGGCGTCGCTGTCTAGTCCTGCGAGGGGAATATGGAATTTTACCTGCTGGATCTGTTTGTAGCCCTTAGAAACGGAGCTGTTCATGCCCCAGGGCTGTGACCTTATGCAAGAGCAGGCCCATGACTGTGCCTGCTGTCCCCCAGAGCTGAGCCCTGCTGCTGGCAGAGGGATCCTGCTCCTGCTCCTGCTCCTGCTCCTGCTCCTGCTCCTGCTCCTGCTCCTGCTCCTGATCCTGATCCTGATCCCGATCCTGCTGCTGCCCCTGCTCCTGATCTTGATCCTGTTCCTGTTCCTATTACTGCTTCTGATCTTGATCTTGTTCCTATTCCTGCTCCTGCTTCTGTTCCCTCTCCTGCTGCTGATCCTGCCCCTGATCCTGATCCTGCTCCCAGTCCTGCTGCTGATCCTGCCCCTGATCCTGCCCCTGCTCCTGCTCCTGCTCCTGCTCCTATTCCTATTCCTATTCCTATTCCTATTCCTATTCCTATTCCTATTCCTATTCCTGCTCCTATTTCAGCCCCTGCTCCTGCTGCTGTTTCTGCCTCTGATTCTATTCCTGCTCCTATTCCTATTCCTGCTCCTGTTCCTGCCCCTGCTCCTGATCCTGCTCCTGTTCATATTCCTGCTCCTGATCTTGATCTTGATCCTGTTCTTGCTCCTGCTCCTCTTCCTATTCTGATCTTGATCTTGTTCCTATTCTGATCTTGATCCTGCTCCTGTTCCTGCTCTTATTCCTGGTCCTGTTCCTGTTCCTGCTCCAATTCCTGATCCTGCTCCAATTCCTGCTCCTGCTCCTGCTCCTGTTCCAATTCCTGATCCTATTCTTGCTCCTGCCCCTGCTTCAGGGAGCGAGGCCACCTCAGCTCCACCTGGAGCACCTGCAAGTGCCTTCCTGCAGCCCAGCTGCTCCCTCTGCCTCCTGCTGCTGGAGACTTTTCTCCTCCTGGTACAGCTTTGCGTCAGGCTGGCCAGCCCCAGAATAATTCACTTCATTGCTCAGCTACAAACCTGCATTTCCCTGCTCCTTTCCCTGCATCAGCACCTCACATTCCTTGGATTCTTTCCGTGGGTCAGCACCTGCAGCTCTTTGCTAGGGTGCCCTCCCCTTGTCTCAGCAGCTCCAGCGAGGTTTGGAGAGGGATTGAAAGCCTGGCTTGTGGCAGCCTGAGCCTTTTTGGTATTCACAGACTGTCTTGGAAAGGTGCTGCTGCTGCAAGGTCAGGGATGGAAGGGATTGAGTGCAGCTTAGTGCTGCCAGCAGTTAATTAACATCAGTAAATTGTTGAGGGCAATTGCCTCCATGGGTCAGTCCCTGTCTCTAAGGAAAGCCTGCGGTAGTTTGGAAATGAAATTGCCTGTAAGGAACAAAGGCTCTTGTTTTGTCATCATCATCAAATCATGGAATGGTTTGGGTTGGAAGGGACCTTAAAGCTCATCCAGTTTCACTCCCCTTCCACAATCCCAGCTTGCTCCAAGTCTGGATGGGGAACACAAAATCTACCCCCAGGTTCAGCCAGAGCCCAGCAGAGCTCCTGGGTTCTTGTCTGGGGACCCCTGAAACCAAAATCTGACTTCATGCTCTGGCAGGGGTGGGATGAGATGAGCTTTAAGGTCCTAACCCAAACCATTCCATGATTCTGTGAATCTTATTCTGGGAATATTTAACTTGATTTGTGCCTGGAAGGCAAAATCCCAGCAGAGCCCAGACACAAAACAGCCACGAAGAGAGATCACAGCCTTGCAGAAGCAGCAAGTCTCAGAGGAGCTGGTAAATGTACCCTCAGTGTCTTCATGCAGATTATCCAGACTGAGTTTATGTGTCAACAACGTTAAAAACAACAAAGAAAACACCCAGCTTTGCATTTTGCACAGAATATTCATCTAATTCCTAACCATCAGTCCCACCCTGGCTCAGATGTGTCATTTCCATGTCTGCATGAGCCTGTCAGGACCTCCTGTCTCAGTTAAAAACACCTTTCATTACAAAGATCAAATTCAGGAGCAGTGGCTGGTGGGATTCTGGCAGTGTCAGGGAACAGCAGCTGCAGAGGCCACAGCAGAAATCATTTGTGTTAATAAAAGCTCTCGTGTCTCTAGGGTGGCACTGGGGGAGCCCTGGGGCTGAGAGGTGGGGAGGGAGGCTTGGATGCTGCTGAACCAAGCTGGGAAACGCCAAAGCTGGTGCTGAAACACCAAAGCTGGTGCTGAAACACCAAACCTTGGGCTCCAGGATCGAGCTGGGCTCGCTCCAGCTCTGTGGGAGATGCTGGAGATGTCTGAGGCTTTCTATCCACGTTCCAGGACGGTTTGGAGCTGAGGCTCTGCCCTTCCCTGCTCACAAGGAGAGCTCTCCAACCCCACCATGCTTCTCTCCATTATCATTTCTTTTCTTTTTTTGCCCCTGTTCTTTGTTTCTAATGGAATTGTAAACGAGAAAAGGCCCAACCTCGTCACTGCAGCTCCCACCCGTGCCAGGCTTGGCCCCACAGAACCAAGAACCTGCAAAGAGGAGCCCCACCAGGGGCATTCCAGCCTTTTCCTGCTGTGTTAAAACAATCAGGGTTTCCTGATTTGGGTTTTGATTTCCTCCATTTGCCAGTGATGCAAACTTACCCAACAATATCTTCAACCAGAACCAGACCCGCTGTTCCTCGTTCCTGCTCTGAAATCCCGGGTTTGGGATCACCCTGGCAGGGCAGGGGGTGAGGATCTCCACTCCCCCTGAGACCTCAGCTCTTTTCTTCCAAACACCTTTGGATCTGGAAGTCCAGGAAGAGACAGACAGGGGCAGTGTTGTTCCTTGCAGAGGAGTTCATGTGCAGCAAAACCACCCCTGGCTGCTTCCAGGCAGGAGTTTAATCATGAAGTGGGCACTGTGGAGCAGCCAGGGTTAATTAATAAATAATTAATTTATTAATTGCAGCTCTGAGCACAGACAGGCTGTGCTGAGGTGCTGGCAGCAACCTCCACATCTGCACGGGGATGGAACTCCTGGGATGGAGCCTCTGCCTGTCCCGGTGCTGCTCCCAGGGAGAAGATTCCCCCTCCAGCACACGTTTGCCAGAGGAATTTCCTCTACAAGCACAGCCCAGAGGAATAAATTCTAAAAAATTTAACTCTCCTTTAGCAGTGGAAGGTGCAAGGCAGTGACAGTGCCCCAGGAGGGTCTCCTGTAATTCCATGGTTTGTGAATCTCTAAAATAACGCTGGGTGTTCCCAGGGGGCTCTCACCATCACTTTTATCCCATTTTATCACTCAAAGAGTGATGCTTTGCTGCTCTCATGGCAATAAATGCCCCCAGGCAGAGCAGCTCTGCTGGAGCCCAGCCAAGAGAGGGAGATTTTGGCTCAGGTTTGGTACAAAACACGAAAATTGCTGCCATATAAGAAATCATATCACCATTAACAGCGCAAAACTGCTCGGTGGGGATTTATCTCCAGCCAGGGAGATTCCAGAGGCCTTCAAGGATTGTTTTACACAGGAAACAATCTGCTCTTCACACCCTGTCTGACCTGAGAGGGGAAGATGAAGGCTCTGGACCCCACAGGACTGGAGAACCGTGTGGTTCCTCTGAATGTCCCTCTGAACCCCTCACGCTCCTCACCTGAGGATGCTCTGCAGATCCTGGGGGCTGCTGGAGCCCCCTCAGAGGTGCCACGGGTGGGTTTTGTTCTGCAGCCAAACATTTTTAATGCAAGGCAAAGCAGCCCAAAGTCCCTGGCAGGAACTGCCGTGCCTCCGTGGCTCTGGGGCTGTCGGCACACCCAAACTCCTCTCAGGGATTTGGTTCCTGCAGAAGAGGAATTGTGTTTGTGGCCAGGAACAAACTGCCCCCAGTTCCACCTTCAGACTCTCAACCCACCTTGTTCACAATTCTGGGACGGGTTTAGGACAAAAATTGAAGCAGAAATCATCTTTTTGACCCCAAAAACAGGATCAAAACACAGACATGAGCTCAGTGAAGTCAAACCACAGGTGGCTGAGGAAGCTTTCTCAAAGTTCTCGCTGTGAAGTTCTGCCTGGAAGTGCAGCAAACACCATTTCATTACATGCTACGTGTTTTATATTTCAGTATTTTGTCTGCAGAGCAGGGGAATTCCTCTCAAACTCTGCATTTTCTGCTCCAGGCCTCATCATCCCTTTTTTTTTTTTCCCTTTCCATGATGTCATCACATCCCAAATAGCTAAAAAAGATCATTTTGGGGTCTTTTTGATGACATCTCTGCTACTCCTCTGAGCATTTTGACCATCTCCACTTTGCTCAGAAATGCACATCGAGACCTCAGAAGATTTTTAGTGCACCTGTTTTAAAATCTACACATCAATATATATGGAAAAAAGCATAAAACATCAAGAGAAAAGCAAATACTGACTGAGCTGCAAGCTGCAAAAACAACTTTATTAAAAAAAAATCCGAGCTGGAGGTGGAGGTAGAGAAAATTTCCAGAAGCATCACAATCTAAGGTAGGCAAGCCTGAATTTGCCCTTAAAATACTGGTTTTTGGAGTGATTATAGGAAAGAGATTTCACCTACAGTATGTAACAATTCTGAAATTCAACATAATTATTTCTATAAAAATAAAGGTAGTGATTTATGATGACTTTTCTTCCCATTGTGCCTATTTTTTTTTATCCTTTTAAAGCTATAAATTAAATTTACTGATCTTTTTGGCCTAGAACACCCAAAAAAATGAAATGGGTGAGGTAAAATGCATCCCAGTTCTGGATGGCAGCAGGATAATGGTTTAATCAGGTGCCAAAAATGGATATTATAAACATTTTGACAATATAAGGCTGAAATAAAGACAGGAAAAGCCCAGCTATACATGGTTTACTCCTGGGATTTCTCTAGCTCCTTCTTGTCTCTTCCTGCTTTACATTTAATGCTTATTTGTGGGTTAGCATTAAAAAACAACTCCTTGCCTTAAAATTAACATTAAATGAGATTAAAGCAGAGCTGAGGGTTCTGTCCTGCAGACCAGAAATGAGGAATGCTCTGCTGGACATCAGAAAATATTAAATAAGCACAGAAATCACATTTTTACTGATTTTTTTTTTATTTTTTGGATGGATAAAAGCCATTGAGCTCTTTACAGGGAATTTTTGTTAGCTCCTCATTGCTTCGAGTCCTCCAGCCTGGTGGGAATTGAGTGGAAATCCCTTTTTTTCCCCAATTCTGTCTCTTTTGGCTGTAGTGAGGGAAGTGCTGAGGCTCTGCTGAACCCTCTCTGCCCTGAGTGAGCAGAGCTGGGGGGTCCTGAGCTGTCCCCACTGCCCAATAAAAATATAAATAAAAATAAAAATAAAAATAAAAATAAAAATAAGAATAAGAATAAGAATAAAAATAAAAATAAAAATAAATATAAGTATAAATATAAGTATAAATATAAATATAAGTATAAATATAAATATAAATATAAATATAAATATAAACATAAACATAAACATAAATATAAATATAAATATAAATATAAATATAAATATAAATATAAATATAAATATAAATATAAATATAAATGGAGATGACTGGGGGAGTGACAGGAGATGTTTAAGGATGTTGGCACCCCTGAGATCTGCAGCTTCTCCTGTTGTTTCTTGAGATGAAAAAAGAAGGGAGAAGGGAAGAAGGGAGAAGGGAGAAGGGAGAAGGGAGAAGGGAGAAGGGAGAAGGGAGAAGGGAGAAAAGGGAAAAGGGAAAAGGGAGAAGGGAAAAGGGAGAAAGGAAAAGGGAAAAGGGAGAAGGGAGGATGGAGAAGGGAGAAAGGAGAAGGGAGGATGGAGAAGGGAGAAGGGAGAAGGGAGAAGAGAAGGGAGAAGGGAGGATGGAGAAGGGAGAAGGGAGGATGGAGAAGGGAGGATGGAGAAGGGAGGATGGAGAAGGGAGAAGGGAGGATGGAGAAGGGAGAAGGGAGGATGGAGAAGGGAGAAGGGAGGATGGAGAAGGGAGGATGGAGAAGGGAGGATGGAGAAGGGAAGGTTTGATGCCACAGCACCACAGCAGATCCCTCACACATTTTTGGCCGTTTCCCGTTCCCAGTGATGCCTTTACCCCATCCCCAGAGCACAGCGTTCAAAGCAGGAGTGTGAGATCTGCAGAGCACCATTAACATCTTTTTTCCTTTTAGAATTCCCCTTTTTCTGGCCTAGGACGGGTCAGAGACTTGGAGCCAGCAGGGAGGCAGCGCCCTGCCCTGAGCAGCCCCCAGAGCATTCCGGTGGTTGCCACAATCTCTCTCTTTTGCTTGATAACACAGAAATCAGCAAAACCCCCTCCCCAGCGTGAGATTGGTGAGGATTGCCGAGGGAGCACTCCGGAGGGCTGGACATGGTGCTTCTCCTCCTTCTGGCAGCTCTGCTGCAAGGTGAGTCAGGGAGACACCGAGTCCCAGCCCCTGAGAAGAGCAGGCTCAGCTGGAACCGGGCACACAGGCCGTGTTCTTCTGGCTGAACCTCCCTTGGACACCAAACACCTCCACCTGCACTGGAAACCAGTCTGAGCACCCCCTGCCCAGTCCAAACCTGCAGAGAGCCAGCAAAGGTGGCCAGAGCTGGGAGGAGAATCCTTGCACAGCTTGCACAGGGGGAAGGATGCTGCCAGCTCAGGCAAATGCCAAAGGGCTTTTCTGCCTTAATTTCTGCCTTTGAGCTTTAACTCCAGGTCTGGGGGGTCCTGGAAGGGGCATTGAGGGTCTCCCCATCTGTGCCAGTGGCTCTGTGGGCACTCAGGGAGGGGAAACACTACATCCAAAATAGATTTCCTGAGCTCCGTGTCCCCCTCAGCAGCACAGCCCTGCCTCAAGGAGCGATGGCTGTGAGTAACCAAAGCCTTCTGTTTGTGCCCCAGCAGAGCCGGTTTCCAGCAGCCTGTACGGCTCCAGGGCTCTGGCAGGAGGCCTCGGAGGCTCCATCACCCACCAGTGCTTCTACTCCCCCACCCCGGCCAACAAATACGAGCGGAAATATTGGTGCAAGTTATCAGCAAACGGGGTGTGCTACACCATCATCTCCTCCAGCGGCTTCACCTCCAGCCACTACCGGGGCAGGGTGGCCCTGGGGGACGTCCCCCAGAACGGCACCTTCACGGTGACAATGACAGGGCTGAGGAGCAGCGACTCGGGCACCTACAGGTGTGGCATTGGCAGCACCAACGAGGGGCTCTACGTCAGCCTCAACCTGACCGTCCTGGCAGGTAGGGGTGTCTTGGATCCTGGGAGATTTTGGGAGCAGGTGCCTCAGGTTTTATTGTTAATGTAGTGATAGATATTAATGTAATATTGTATAGTGTATATTATATGTAATTAATTATATTAATTATAGTATTTGTTAATAATAAATGCATTAATTTTATTAATTATACAATTATTATATTATATTATATTATATTATATTATATTATATTATATTATATTATATTACATTATATTATATTATATTATATTATATTATATTATATTATATTATATTATATTATATTATATTACATTACATTATATTATATTATATTACATTATATTACATTACCTTACATTATATTATATTATATTACATTACATTACATTATATTACATTATATTACATTACATTACATTATATTATATTATATTACATTATATTACATTACCTTACATTATATTATATTATATTACATTACATTACATTACATTATATTACATTATATATAATATAATATAATATAATATAATATAATATAATATAACATAATCTTAATAATATAAGATATTATAATTAATAATTATTATGTATAATTTTATATAATTAATTCTATTCTATAATTATATATTAATTGTATTAATATAATTAATATTATAAATAATTATATCATATTACATATAGTATTAATTATATAATAGATAATATATAATATTATATAATATTAATTATATTAATTATATTATATAAGTATAGTATAATTATATATTTTTAATTAATTACATTATATTATTTATAATTTTCTAATATATAATTAATATGATGTGGCTATTAATTATTACTTATATTAATATAATATGTTGTATTAATACATCATTATATTTTATTATAATAATTGTATATTTATAATTATAATATATATTGTTATATATATGATTAAAATATAATACATATTATAATGTATATTTTAATATATAATATAGCATCTATTATAATATATATTATAATATAGAATTGTATTTATGTTATATATAAATATATTATATATAAATATATTATATATAAACGTAATACATCATATTAATACATTATATTAATATATTCCATTATAAAATATATATTTATAGAAAATATATAATTTATAATAGATATTCTAGTATATATTGTATATTTAATATCAATATACTATATTATATATGAATCTATCCTAGCTATGTTATATATTGATATATGATATTTATAATTTTGGGGTATAAAAGCAGCCAGGTTTGGCCAAATCAGCTGTTCAGAAAAGTGGAAGGAAACCCTTTCCTGCCTGTTGGAAACAGAAATTTGGAGATTCCAGGGAAGGGCACAGGGGAAATGTCTGAGTGAAGGGGATTTGGAGAAGTAAAGGAAATAACTGCTGGAGTTTCAGGCTGTGAACTATGTGTGTGTGGATATTTTTGAGGTATTATAATCTAAAAAAGATGAATATTTATTATTTATCTATTTATTATCCTAGGGCAGCGCTCAGGGGCATGGCCTGAGCTGTAGAGCCCAAAGGATGGGGCAGGTTTTTGGGAGCTGTGTGCTGACAGCTCCTGTCCTGCTCTCTCCCTGCAGATGCTGCCGTGTCCAGGCCAACCCAGCTGGTCCGAGGGGATCTCCACGGCTCTGTCACAGTCCTGTGCCCCTCTGGGGACACCCAGGGTGACCACAAGAGGTTCTGGTGCAAAGTGGGCAGAAGGAGCTGCACTCTCATCGCCAGCTCTGACGGCTACGTGGGCAGGAGGTACCAAGGACGGATCGTTATCACCCCTCAGGACAGCTCTGGAGCTTCCAAAGTCCTGATAAACGACTTAAAGAAGGAAGATTCGGGGCTGTATCTGTGTGGGACACAAGGCCCGAGGGGTCAGGACAGCCTGCAGGAGGTGGTTCTGCTGGTGGCCACAGGTAGGACAGGGCACGGGGAGCTCAGCGCTGGCTGAGGGGTGTGAAGCGCTAATTCTGCGTCCTCCCCTGCAGCCTCCGCCCTTCCCAGGAGACCCAAGTTCCTCAGCGGCACCATCGGGGGCTCGCTGTCCTTCCAGTGCCACCACGACCCCAAGGGCACCTACGAGAAGAAGTACCTGTGCAGGTGGCAGGGAGGGAGCTGCCCAGTGCTGCTGGATGATGAGGGGTTTGTGCTGGAGTCCTACCGAGGGCGGATACAGATGTCCAGCAGCCACCCCCAGCGCGGGACCTACACGGTGCTGCTGAGGCAGCTGAGGGAGGAGGATGAAGGCTGGTACTGGTGTGGGGCCAGGAGTGGGCACACGGAGCTCACGGCCTCCCTGAAGCTGCTCATCCACAAGGGTAGGTGGTGGCACGGCCTGGGTGGTCCCCAAACCTTTCCACACCGTGAGAAACGGCATCAAATGAAATTAAATCTCCTTTAATTGTGAGCGAGCAGCCGAGGCGATGGGGGAGGTTTTCAGGGGTGAGAGAGCTGAGCTTTCCGAAGAAACTGGAGAGCTTTGGGTTCTATTATTGATTCCTTACGATGCAAACCCCCAGGAGCTGACATCCTGGTCCTGGCAAGTGCAGCACAGGGAGGTGTTTGGCTCTGAGGATAAGCTGAAGGTTATCTGAGAAACTGCAGAGTGTAAATAGCCAGATCCACAGAACTGCTCCTCTGGCTAAGGCAGAAGGAGTGGGGTTAGAGTAGGATGTTTGCCAGGTATTCAGGTTTTCACTGGTGCTTTCTGTAGCACTCCCAGGAGAGCAGAAATGCCCCAGTCTGGTGGTTTTTCACGTGAGACGCGAGGTGAGATGTGTAAATCTTTGGGAAATCAAACAAACGCATTGCCTCTGCCAAAGAGAGGGGATTAAAGCCTCAAAATAAATTTTTATTAAATAAAATTCTCTGTAGGAACCTGCTCCTCGTGGGACCCAGGAACAGCCATGGCACCAAGTCCTGCTGCCCCCAGCACGGCCAGGCATGGGAGCATGGCAGACGTGATGGGCACTGTCCCCAAGGACACCACCATGGCCAGTGTCACCAAGAACACCATGGCCAGTGTCACCCACAGCACCACCATGGCCACTGTCCCCAAGGACACCATGGCCAGTGCCCCCAAGGACACCATGGGCAGTGTCACCCACAGCACCAGCATGACCACTGTCCCCAAGGTCACCACCACGGCCAGTGTCACCCACGGCAGCAGCTCCCTGCTACCCTCTGCCACTCCTGGCACCTCTGCAACCTCCCCAGGTGAAGCCTTTCAGGAGAGGTGAGTCCACAGCCACACCCTTGGTGCTTCTCACCCCATCTGCCCCATTCCCCAGGGCCCTGTGGAAGTTGTGCACAGCTGAAAACACCTCCAGGAGACACGAAAAGGGAGAGAAGGTGGTGAGGTCACCTCGTGTCCCTGCACACTTTGAACTTGTCTCTGACCCTCCCAGTGCTGGCTGCTCCTGTGGAGCAGATGCCAGAGTCAACAGCTGTGCTCCTGCCTGTTTCCCTGGGCTCAGGATGGGGACAGGACCTTGGGAATGTTGCTGAGGCTTGAGCAATAGCCCTGGTGAACGTGTGGCTGCTGCACAGCTCAGGCCACCCCTTCCCCGAGCCCTGCAGCAGCCAGGAGCCCACGGGCAGTGTGGGAGCTCGCTGTTTAACCAGGAGTGAGCTTTGGGTGAGGTTCAGCCAAAGCCTGGCAGTGTTTTGGCCAGGAATTGTTCCCTGGTCGTTTTTCACACCAGTTCCTGTGTCTCACCCCAGTGCAAGCAGCTCCCCAGTGGATTCGCCTCCTGTGCTCCCTGTGAGCAGCCCCAGCTTCTCCCCCAGCTGTGGCCACCAGCCAGCCCTGCTGAGGGGACGTGGTGCAGATGCACCAGGAATCGCAGGGTCAGCCTGGGCAAAGTCCACAAATCCAGTTCAATCCCGAGATGGGCACCTCGGATCCGCATCCAGCCCCGTCCTCCCCACCCCAGCCTCCCCCAAGCCACATCTCCCTGTCATCCTGACACAAGGAGGGAAGGCACCTTCCAAAAATGTGACAACTCACCGAAAAGTGTGTTTCTTGTGAATTTGTATTGTGCAAACAGCTCATTTTCCCTTTGGAGGGACTAATTCAGCTGGCAGCACAAACCCCACACGGCAGCCATAGAAATCACTTCCTCATAAGCCAAACTCCAGATCAAAGGATTGCAACTCTCCTTGACTCTCTTGACTTTTCTTTGATTCAGTCAGAGCTTACAACTCCTTGGTACTCTTTAGTGTGAAAACAACCACCTTCATGAACCACGAAGGTGACTCCAAACCTAATTTAACCCTGGTGTTTCATCTTCCCAGCTCCTCGGGTGAGCCACGGCTGCTCCCAGCTGTGTTACCAGCTCTGCTTTTGCTGATTTGCATCACCATCACCATCCTCACCCTGGTCAAAATCAAGCTTCAAAAGCAGACAGGTAAATTGGCCAGGAATCACCTTTTGGGGTGGCAGTGGTTGTTTTGGTTTAAATTTGCAAGGGCTGGAGTCTGACCTGTGGAATGTTTCCATCTCCCGGACACGTGTCTGTTCCGCAGCCCCAGACCTGCAAGCAAAGTCCTTGAGGGGTTGTTTGGTTTTGTTTTCAGCCTGCTCAAATGCAAAGCAAAATGAAGGAAATGCTGAAGCCCTGCTGAAAGCAAGGCTGGGATTTTGTGTGTGGAGGGTTTGTGGCTCTGTGGGCGATAGAAAATCCTGGAGGGAGGGACCTGTGTGGTGTGAGTGGCTTCACTCTGGGCAGCTTCTGCGGCCAAATCCAGCTCATTCCATGCAAAGCTGACAAAGACAGGCCCAAAAAAATCCCTTGTAATAACTGATTTGCAAAGACACGTGCACCTGTCTTAATCCAGACCATGTTACGTCCATAGAAATAAACTTAGGGACAGAAAACCTTTGGCCATGACAGCAGTGAGGGGACATTCCTTATTCACAGGAAGGAAACTGTGAAATAATGGCCTCATTTGGTGTCTGACACACCTGAACACTTAGAGAGGTGCTAGTGGGGGTGTTCCCTGCAGTGCATCCGTGTGTTTTGTCTTAAAGGAGAGGAAAAAAGCACCACGGGGAGCCTGGAGCCAGCTTTGGCTGGAAGGGAAGAAGGGATGGAGGAGCCCTGGAAGGGAGGAAGGGATGGAGGAGAGCCCAAGTCCAGGAGAAGAGCAGGAGTTCAGGATGGGCTCTGGCAAATGTAGGTGGGTGTTTGCTGCAACTGGCACTGCAAGTATCATGTCCCTTGATAAAAGAGAATAAACCAAATTTTGAGCAGGGAATCTGTGGCTTGGTAAGGAAAACACCTCCACAGGAGAGGCACCAGGTCTGCAGTCCAGGAATTACAATCCACAGTCCAAGAATCACATTCTGCTGCCAAACTCTTGCCTTTCTTCCTTACCAAGAAACGTTAAACCATGGATTTCACAAGACTTGGATTAAATCCTACATAAAATTCATATATTTATTGTAGGGTCGATTATAATTTTCGATTGCAAGTAGTAAAGCTGTTATTGCCCTTCCTGCCTCTTTCAGTAAATCCTTATCAGAATTACACAGAAGTAATTATTGTTCACTGTGTTGCAACCATGCCATTCTTCTGTGTTTTATTGTGCAGGACAATCTCTGATATCCTTGGAAATATCAGGATGACCAGCTTCTATGTAAGAGTCTCAGATTGTTGGTGCTTTTCTAAAGAAAAGCTCCTGTAAAAATCATCAGTTAAAGTGTATTTGATCTGTGGGAATTTCTATCAGTGAGAAGGACTCCACTGAATAAAAAATTAGTGGAATAGTGGCTCAGAAATTTGGTGATTTCATGTTCTCACTCCAATGCACTCAGAGCCAACAGGGGTCTTCTGGTCCTAAAGAATAGAAAGAAAAATTACACCTCTCCTAAAACCTTGAAAATAAACCAACATTCTGTGAAAAACTCCTAAAAAGGAGAATAAAACCCAGCAATTATTTGTGCCTTTTCTTCCCAGATGTCTGGGCTGGGGTAAAATCTGGGATAATTCTCTTAACTGAGCAGGAGGTTGGCTCCAGAAGTCCCTTCTGACCTGGGTTTCTCCACCTTTCTGTTCCCAGAGCTCCTTAAAATATCATTTAAAATACCAATACTGGCATAAACCCAGAAATACCTATGAAATGACTTCTACAAATACCACAGAGAGGCAATGCCAGATCACAGCTTCTGTTCTGTTTCACTCTTTTACAGTCACTCTACGGAGAAAAATTACTTTTCCAGGTGTCTGATGAAGACTTGAGCCAGAATCTGCTGTGAAAGCCCCTGGGTACCTGAGCTGGGAATTTTCTCTGTGGAAAGACAAGCCCCCAACACCTCCCAGTGTTTTCCCCAGAACCCAAATCCCCTTTAGTGAGAGCTGAACCCCCACACTGCCCAAACTGCTCCATGTTTTGAAGAAGAGAGAATAAAATAACGCACCTGAACCCAGCTATTTGTGGGTTGTTTCCCTGAGGGAAAGGTAAAAAAAGGTGTGGGGAGGGAATCCTTTTTGGCTTCAGGATTGCTCAGTGAGAGGCAAAATATCAGAAAATCACAGAATGGTTTGGGTTGGAAGGGACCAGCTTACTAAAAATAATAAGGATTTTACTGTTTTTGGGGTTTTTTTTTTAAATCCTGATCCATGGAGTAATTTTGCAACACATAAACCACGTCTGATTTCAGTTTCTCAGCCACCCACGTTCCCAAAGTGCTATTTTTCCTTCACCTCTCCTGCAGGGATATCCAGAGCTTCAGAAGCAGCTGAAATTCAAACACAGCCCAGCCCCGAGCAGCAGCGCTGCTTTCACGCTCGCATCGTGGCTCGTGCTGCAATCTGCACTCCCCAGATAAAAGCAGTCCGAAGGTTGTTTGTTTTCTGGAGATGCCAAAATGCTTTGGAACATATGACTTGGCAGGGAAACGCTTCCTCATGTGCTAAAGTAAGGAAATACATTTCAAATATATTTACATGAGGCTATGGATTGGATTTACTGGAGGGTGAAAAGGGGGATTTGGTTAAAAAAAAAACCTATTTATTAGCCTTGGGTTCATTTTTCCTCCTTGAGATGCACCAGGAGTTACAGGTTCCCATATTTCTTCCAGGTTTTCCTCTGCCCACTGCCATCCCACCTTCTCTTCAAGGTCTTAAAACCACATTTCCATCCCTCTGCAGGACCCAGCAGGGAAGGGATCCCGAGGGATCCATGCCTGGGAGAGCAAACACAGCTGTGTCCACTGTGGTCCAGCCAGCACAGCTCGGTGGCCACGAGGCAAAAAAGCAATGCCAGCATTACCTGGGGGATGTTTGGAATGGTGGGAAGTGTGCAAGGGATCGGGGTTTGTTCCCATCGAGGAGAGGTGGTGGTGGCTCAGTCTGAGATCCCCACCAAGCACAGCGACAGCCAAAAGCTCCTTCCTCACCCCAAAAGCTCCTTCCTCACCCCAAGAGATCCTTCCTCACCCCAAAAGCTCCTTCCTCACCCCAAGAGATCCTTCCTCACCCTAAGAGATCCTTCCTCACCCCAAGAGATCCTTCCTCACCCCAAAAGCTCCTTCCTCACCCCAAGAGATCCTTCCTCACCCCAAAAGCTTCTTCCTCACCCCAAGAGATCCTTCCTCACCCCAAAAGCTTCTTCCTCACCCCAAGAGATCCTTCCTCACCCCAAAAGCTCCTTCCTCACCCCAAAAGCTGCACATTCATGGAAAAAATGGAGCTCAACACCCTCAGCTAAACAAAAGGCATTTCCAAGGCTGGCTTTAGGATGTGACAAATCTGTTGAAGATCCCAGTTCTGGGTCAGGATCTTGCTGCTCCCAGGCACTGCAGGAGCTGCCATCCTCTTCAAACACATCAGTTCTCACAGAGTGGGCGAGGAAAGCTCCGTGTGACCCCCCCAGTTAGAAGGAATTCCTGCTTTTGCATCATTAAAAGGAGGCAAAGCAAGGAATCACAGCTGCCATGGCTGCTCAGGTCCTGCCCAAGCAAAAAGCTGGCACAGAGCTACCCAAAAGACTCTCCATGGATTTGACCATGGAATCACCAAGCTCCTTCCCAAAAGAGGCAGAGGAGCCCTGGAGTTTTCCTGGGAGCCCCCAGGCTGGGGTGGCTGTGGTGAGGACACCCTGGAGGGACAGCAGAGCTGGGCTGGGCACTGGCTGGGCTTTGCCGTGGGCAGAGCTCACCTGGCAGCGCCGCTGGATGTTGTTCCTTTAAGGCACAACAGGTGGAAATGCAGGGCTGAAGGTGCAGGGAGTATTTAAAGCAGGCTGGCACTGCCACAGCCCCGTGGGGACACAGGACACTCACAGCACCCGCCCGAGAGGGAAAGCCAGAAGTGCCTGGGGTGTAAGTAACGCATTTGAGATTTTGTAAGGCTGTGGTGGGATGGGGAAGGAGAAGAAAATGAGCCTTGAGCCAATTTTGAGGATCCATCCTCACATGTGAGGGAAGGTTTGGAACCATTTCATGTTCAGAGCTCACTGGTGGGAGGCTGATTTCTTCTGAAGGAACCACAGGAACAGCCTTATGGCAGTTATTCTTCTCTGCAGCAGGTTTTTAATATTTAGTTTCTGAAAAAAAAAAACAACCCAACAGATTAATTATCATTACAATATTTGCTTTAAGTTTTAACATGGGAAATAAAAGTTAGTAAATATTACCGTAGTAATCTAAATTTCGTGACTCAGCCTGAGGTCATTACCGGCTTTTGAACCCCAAACCATCAGATTTTGAAATTTTAGAAGAGAATTGCTGCAGTTGTGTCCTAAAGGAGCTGCTTTAGAAGCTCCCTGAGGAGTTTGTACAGTTACAGGAAGACAAATAGAACCTGAAGCTTAAATGAATGGACTGGACGCGGTCTCCTGAAAGTGAAATCCGAGGAGCCCCTGTCCCACTCAGACCAGTGAAGGGTTGGGTCCTACACCCCTGAATTCCCACTCTGCACAGGGAACATTCCTGTAGATTTAATACATTCCTCAAGTACAAATAATCATCACCTAATTGCAATTGTTAATGAATCCACACTGGCATCATCCATCCCTCCAGCCTCTTGGGCCATGGGATGCTCCTGCTCCTTGCAGGCAGAGGAGAATTAAACTAAAATAATTTCATGGTGCTGAAGTTGGTTTCACTCTCCAGCCCAAGAAACAAATGAACCATGAAGGTCTGATCTGAAAAACAACAAGTGGGTGCATAAAAGGAACATAAAATCAGGTCTCAGGCTAGTGTAGAGTGGATCCAACAGCTGAAAGGAACATAAAATTGGGCCAGCAGCACAATCTCAGCTGGGATTTCAGTCACTGCCTTGAGAGCTGCCTGTTTATTCTATTTAATTTCTTTCCTGAAATACGTTGCTCATATGTTTAACTGACACATTCTTAGTTCAGAGGGTCCCAAGCACTGCAGGCATTTCTAAAAAGTGCTGATTTCTTGGTAAATCCTGATACTCTTCAGCAAGTTCTATTGAAGTGTTTCTGCTCACTGCATCACCAAACGAGCCCCTCCTATTTATTTTCTCAGAATTGTAAAGGAGGCATCTGCTTAGACATGGAAATGTTTATTTTCTGCACGTGTTTCAGCTCAATCTTTTATCTGCAAGTTAATTGCTCATTCCTAACCCCATGAAAATGGGGTGGATTGGTGGTTTTTCCCCATTCCACTGCAGAAAATAAAACCCATGGCAAGGCAAGATCAGCAGTGACCTTGAAGGGCATTTGAAGATGTGAGTAATCCAGTCCTGTGCAGGATGAAATTTGTTGCTGTGCCCTTTTTCTGGGCACAGAAGCCTCCAGCACTTCCTCACAGCACAACTCTCTCTACAACAATTTGCATCTGCACAGCTTCCCCATGGATCAAAAGGATTTGAGTGGGGAAATATTACCTGTATATAAAATATATAGAATATATGCAATATATTACCTCTATGTTATTATTTCTCAACTATTTGAATAGCAGCAAACATTCCACAAAAATCCAGAAGGGCTCCCAGGCTGGAATGACAAATATCACAATTAAACCTTCATGTTTTGTCAATCCCATGGCCTTGACACTGTTCATTGTCAGGACCAATAGTTAATATCTAATGTGCTGGACTGGGCTGATCCCTGGCAATCCCTGCAGCAGGAATTCAGCAGAATTTGGGAATTGAACTCTGATATTCCATAACCAGACAGAGCAGCTGCTGGCTCAGGTTTGCACAGTTTGGGGGGGTCAGGTCCTGGTCTCTTCCAAATTATAAATCTGAAGATAATTTAAATCTGAAGATAATTTAAATCTGAAGATAATTCTCCCTAGGACTGACAGAATCCCAAAAGCACAACAGAAACCTGGGGAAAGCCTTGTAATGGATGAGATTTGGAAGAGCCAGCCTGGCCAGAGAGCACTGCTGCTGGAAACCTGGAAAATACCAAAATTTAGGCATAAAATAGCACTGGAGAGGAAGGTGATGGTCTCAACCCAGGTCCAGAGAAATGTCCAGGAAATGACCATCAGCCAGTGTTAAGGGTAGAGACACTAAAAACACATCACTAAAATGTCCTTGTCACCCAGTGGAGCTGCAACGAGGCTTAGAGCCCAGCACCAAATCAAAACTGAGATTGTTATTCATCCCCAGAACCACATGAAGACAACAACAACAACAACAAAATTATCTGTCCTGAGCTGGAAAGCAAGAGAAAAGGTCATTATGTTGCAATTGTTCCATTTACACTTTAAACCAGCTCAGAGCTGTAGGTGGTGGTGGTGCAAGAGCACAGGAAGCACAGCTTTGGGTAGGCAGAGATCTTGGTAACCCTTCCAGAGCTGACAGAACAACGTGGGCTGTACCCCAAAACCAGCTGGAATTTTTGAAGAAATCAGAATAACGGATTATTTCAGCTTTGCCAAAATGGGCAAGGCTGAACTGAGTCCTGCTTGCACCACGGGCTGGAGGGCAGTGAGGCAGAGGAGCTGCTGTCAGCCAGGGGCAAACATCAAGGCCCTTTTTGTGCCACGGTGTTTGCTTTCTGCAGAATTTGTCATGTTTGCCTTGCTGGCTACTTCTGGGATGTGTTTGAAAGAGAATTTTTCATGCTCAGTGAGTTAATTATTAGCCATGGACAAGTGGCCATTGAGCAAGGAGAAATCACAATACAAGGAAGAGGCACAACAGAACTCCTTTCATCTTAACAGGGAAATAAAAGCTTTTTTTCTTCTGCCGGGAATTACCCTTAATAAAATCATGTCACTTGATGCCCTGAAATCAAATTTCTCTGATTGTTTATAAAGGTTTTCCTTGGCACCTCTTACCAGCTCCCGTGGGTACCTTCTATGAACTTGGAACAGGCAGGTGGATCAAGAGCTGGGCTCAGGAAACACACCTAAAATCTGATTTTTGGAGGAGCAGAGCTGAGCTAAATCCCTACAGCTCACTCAATTCCAAAGCAGCTGAGGAAAGAATTAAAAAAGAGGTGAAAATATCACCCTATTTTCTCTTTTGTGTGTCCTTGGAGAGACCAGGGAAACAAAGAGAGTCCCCAAATACAGGCTCCAGTCAGGAATTCTGTGGCAGAGGGAATATTGGGGTGTTGGGATGAGATCCATGAGCAGTCCTGTCCTGTGCAGCAACCCAGGCAAGAACAGAGATATCAGCTCCCTTTTTCCCCATCCAATTCCTCAACAGGAGCGATTCAAACCCGTGTTTCTCTCTACTTCACACAGCCACAACCCTCATATCCTCCAAGCACGAAGCTTATTAGACTCTTAACACTTTGCAAATGTGATTATTCAAGACCTTCCACGTCTTTTCCAGGGAATGCAAGGAAAATGACATTACTGCTGTTCCTCTTCCTGCTCGCCTTGCTCCCAGCTGGGTCTGCAAGAGGCAGACACCTCCCCAAGGCAGCCAGTGAGTGTCACCCACCCAGGGCACGGATTTTGGGGTGGCCAAGGACCAGAGGTGGCGCTGGGAAGGGAGGAGGAGGGTTTGGGTGATGCCTGGAACAGGCTTACCTAGAAGCAGGGGACAGACAAAGTTAAAAAGATAAAAGTGGATATATTTCATGAATAATAATGAGTTTAATGAAGGACCTTCAGGTACATTAAGGGCAGATGAAGCCTCCCAAGAGGCTACACCCAAAATGGACAAGGTCATGAGTTTCTCAGACAGATGTAAGTTTGGTCCATTTGCATATCAGGGGTTAATTCTCCAATTCCAGCTTCAGGTAATGAAGTCATGTTCCCCCAGTTCGCTCTGCCTGCAATTCACTTTTGTTTATGATTTTCAAGGCCTGAGGCTCTCAGAAGGATTATTTTGTCTGACCAGAATGCAAAGAGAGCTTACCAACACTCTCTATGGAGCTCAGAGTTAGGCACTAATGCAGTACAGGACCTGAAAAAATATAAAAGCTAAAATTTTGAGTCATCATGGGGAGCATCTTAATCAGGTCACAGGGCCTCGCAGGCCATGGAGGCCGCACAGCCGTGGGGACACATGGTGTGGACACGATTTTCTGAGCCTGAGGGAGTTTCAAGGGAAAGCCTTTTGGGAAACAGATCAGCCACTGAGAGCCTGAATCTGGCTGAGGAAATCCCGTCCTGACACGCAGCCTGTTCTCCCCGCAGTCTCCAGCCCCGTGTTCGGCCCTCGGCAGGTCTATGGCGTGCTGGGCGGCTCGGTCAGCCTGCAATGTTTCTACCCTGGCACGCCGGTGAACAAACAGGACAGGAAATACTGGTGCAGGGAGCTGGGCTCCCGCTGCGTCACCGTGGTGGCCACGCGCTACGTGGCTCCCGACTACCAGAACAGAATCTCCCTCACCGACCACCCCGAGGCCGAGAACTTCCAGATCAACATCTCGGCGCTGGGGCCGGAGGACGCCGGCACCTTCCAGTGTGGCGTGGGGGTCAATGGCAGAGGGCTGTCCCACAGGGTCATTCTCAGTGTTGCTGAAGGTAATTACAACCTTTATGGATCCTGCAATCCCTAAAGTACCATTTGCTTTGAGTTTTTTCCCCCCTCCCTCCCTTTCAAACGAGGCCTGTCGGGTGTCTGAGAGCTGCAGGTGCTTTCAGGGAAGTTTCATTCCAGCCCCTGACTGTGTCTGTGCACAGCCCCACCTGTTCCTGAGGCGGCTGAGCTCTTCTACTTGAAGCTCCGCAGCACCTGGACCGTGTCCTGCAGCTTT